ATATGGGCGCTGGGTTCTAGTCCCAGTTGCTCCTCTTCCAGTCCAGCTCTCTGCTGTGGCCCGGGAAGGCAGTGGAGAATGGTCCAATTGCTTGGGTGCCTGCACCCACGTGGGAAACCAGGAGGAAGCACCTGGCTCCTGGCTTCGGATCGGCATAGCTCCAGCCGTAGCGGCCATTTGGGAGGTGAACCAACGGAAGAAAGACCTTTCTGTCTCTCTCTCTCACTGTCTAATTCTGTCAAATAAATTAAAAAAAAAAAAAAAGAATCTGGTGCCCAAATTAGACTGACCATGTAAGCAACCTCCAAATAGCATGAAACTAGAACAAAATTCCCTCCTGTTTGTGCTGTTCGTACACAGAACTGTGACAGACACTGAGACAAAGCAAGTGCTTTCACCAGTCCCTGGGCAAAACTGACTCTTTTCCTAATTCTTGGCCTTGAAGAACCAAGATTCCAGGAATATAATGAGCATGGAAGATCCAATTCACTCAACAATAACTATCTCCTGTCAGCCTTAGCTACTGACAGCCTAACGACAGGACAGGAATTACACCAGCTTTCCTGCAGAGCCTAAGCTCTGCCATAGGACCAATGACATAGAATCCGTATGTTCCCTTTACTGGCACAGAGCTGCGACGCATATCAAAGCTTCACAAAGTCACTCTATCTTAGGACAACCCCAGGCAACTTGTTTCCATCTTAATTCTGGGACAAGGATATTCACTGTATCCTGCTTTCATTGACTTCTCTGAATATTGTATGAAATGTTAACATTGGTTAAATGTTTTTCCGTTCTCCAAATTATTTTAACACAATAATATAATGAGTGAATCTCAGATTCATAATTAAATATGTGACCTTGCTTAGTCAAACCTCAAAATTTTGTCCTATAAAATATAGGTTAACAACAAAACTCACATTGTAGGTTGCTTTGAAAGTTGCAGGAATCCCTGAAATGTGTTTGGTAAAGCTCAAAAGCACTTCTAAATGCTAAATATAATTGTTAAAATCAGATATAATAAAAATAACTTCACAATGCAAAAATACCAAGTCAGCATTGCACTTAGAATCTGGTGACATCTTAACTAAAAGATACATAAAGTCTTGACAATCTAACCCATTCATTTTTTATACAATTTTACCTTCACTAAAATTCAACTATATGTAGAGATGAATTTCTCAAGCAAAAATTATCAAGATATCTGTCTAGAAACTCACAATATTGAAGAGAAATTAAATACATATATAGGTTTAATTATGCACAAAACATGACTGAGCCCCAGTTTTGTGGTGGAACTGCATTAGATGATAGGAATACAATGGTCAAGACTATCTCCTGTGAGGGAAATAACTTTCAAAGGAATCAATAAAAGCCCTATATTAATATGATAATTATCATGCTCAAGAAAATACAAGAAGACCTTAAAATGAATAATGATCTCTAATAAGAGAGGAAGGAGGTGGAGCTGGCTAGGCAAGGCTTCTTAGTTATGACTGTTAAACTGGTATCTAAAGGAAGAATAAGATTTAGCAAGCCAATGGGAGAAGAGGTGTCGCTCCCCCTCTTCGTGGAGGAGCAACACTGAACCCTGCGCTGTTCTTTCGTCTGCTCGGCCCTCCCCGGGTTTGCTGCTGGTTCTTCCCGGGTTGGCTACTATCCCTTCCACCTCCGTGGAAGGGCAGTTCCCCCTGGCCGCATTCCCCACTTCCGCAGGGGAGCGGCACACCGCCGGCCGGCTCTCTGGGGGGCTGCACGGGTTCCCTTAGATGTTCCCCATAGATGTTCCTGGTGCATGCCGTCTCTCTCCTCCTTTATAGTCCTTCTCCGCCAATCCCAACTCGGCTGCCCACACGCCGAGTACGCTGCTCTCCTCCAATCAGGAGCAAGTCCTACAGTCTATCAGTTGAACTGGAGGCAGCTGTGCGGAAGCTGTTTACTTCTCTCCCAACGCCACATTGTGGGAGAGCAGATGCATAGAATAAGTCTTAATTCGAGTAACTTAGTCTAGTCCGGATTGCTCCCCACAGATCCCCCTTTCTTTTTATTTTTTGGCGTTGATATGCGCCTGTCTTCGGTGTCCCGCGGCACACACTCTGCTCTACTTGCTAGCGTTGCCACAGGCTCTTACAAGTCCTATCAATCAGGAAAACCGAATCCGGGTCCTCTCTTCGCCATTGTGAGGAGGTTTTTAGGCGCTGATGCGTGCCTGTGTTCGGTGCCCTGCAGCGCATGCTCTGCTCTGCTAGCACTGCCTGCAGGTGTTTACAAAACCTATCAGGCAAACCGAATCCAAGCCTTCTCATTGCCGTATTGTGGGGGAGACTTATTAGTGTTGGTTCGTGCCTATCTTCGGTGACCTGCAGCTCATACTCTGGTCGAGCTTTGCTGGCGCTTACTGCCTTAAATCAGGCAGACCGAATCCAAGCCTCCTAATTGTTGCATTGTGGGGAAGCTTTACTGATGTTAATTCGTGCCTGTCTTCGGTGACCTGCGGCTAGCCGCCCAGGTGCTCATCGCCTCACTAATCGGGCAGACCGAATCCAAGCCTTCTAATTGGCATGTTGAGGGGAGGCCTTATTTTTCTCTATTTCTCTATCTCCGGGCATTCCTACCTCTCCCATTTCACTTCTATCTTCCAGCATTCCCATTTCTCTTTTACTTCACTTCCAAACTTCTGTTTCTCTTATCCCCGCAGCTTCCCGGCACCTCGCCCCGCCGGCGGGTTCCCGGCTCTGCGCTGCTTCAGCCCGCGCGCCTCTCTCATCTGCGCAGCTTCCCGGCTTTGCGCGGCTCGGCTTTGCGCGCTCCGCGGTCTCCACGCTTAACCCTTTCGCGTCTGAACCACGGCCTACGCCAGCGTTCCCTATCTATTCACGCCCCGTGCTCTCTCTGCACGCGGCGGCTTCCGCGAGTAACACAGCGTAGCTTGCGTCTCCGCCACTAGGATTCAATCTAAGTTCCCCGGGCTAGCCTGGCGAATTCAACCCAGCTTACGTCTCCGCCCCACGGTTTGGCTTCCCGTCCTTTGCTCCCCGGGCTAATCAGACGGATCCCAACCAGGCTCACGTTTCAGCTTCTAGTTTCAACTTTTCGCCCCCTATTCCCGGGCTAACTTGAGAACCCCAAAGTGGCTTTCGTTTCCGCCTTGGCCTGCCCCCCGCGGCTTCAATTTCCCTAACAGTTTTCTCTACCCGGTATGTTTCCCCAAGCTTTCCTCCAACGATATTCCTCCCTCATTTCTCCTGGCCTCTCCCCACAGTCCGCATCCGAGTCTGTTTGTTCTAGCTTTCACTTTCGCTTTCGACCTTAGAGATTTCTCCCAGCTTCCCCCCGTAGTCCGTATCCGAGTCTATGCCTAGGCTTTCAATAACTTCTTCCGGCACCCTTTTCGTCCGGCTTTTCCCTAGGCTGTTTGCTAATCTCTCTCTCCGGTAATTTCCCAGTTCTTCCCGTTTCTTCCCTCCTAAGTTTGCTATCCGTCCTAGGTTTCCTATCCGAGCTAGGTTTCCTATCCGAGTCAGGTTTCCTATCCGAGTCACGGCACCATTATGTCGCTCCCCCTCTTCGTGGAGGAGCAACACTGAACCCTGCGCTGTTCTTTCGTCTGCTCGGCCCTCCCCGGGTTTGCTGCTGGTTCTTCCCGGGTTGGCTACTATCCCTTCCACCTCCGTGGAAGGGCAGTTCCCCCTGGCCGCATTCCCCACTTCCGCAGGGGAGCGGCACACCACCGGCCGGCTCTCTGGGGGGCTGCACGGGTTCCCTTAGATGTTCCCCATAGATGTTCCTGGTGCATGCCGTCTCTCTCCTCCTTTATAGTCCTTCTCCGCCAATCCCAACTCGGCTGCCCACACGCCGAGTACGCTGCTCTCCTCCAATCAGGAGCAAGTCCTACAGTCTATCAGTTGAACTGGAGGCAGCTGTGCGGAAGCTGTTTACTTCTCTCCCAACGCCACATTGTGGGAGAGCAGATGCATAGAATAAGTCTTAATTCGAGTAACTTAGTCTAGTCCGGATTGCTCCCCACAAAGAGGGTTCCAAGACACAGCATATACACAAACAAGGAAGTACGGAAGAGTGCCTTGTCTTCAGCAAACTTCAAATAGATAAGATTGGAACCAGGGCAATGGGAAAGTGAGAGATACAAATGAAGGAAAATGATTCTTCTAAATGGTAGGGTGTAGATATTTTAAAATGATCATAAGGGAGTTATACACAAACTTGCGTGAAATATTGATGTCACATAATATTAGATCACTTACACATTTTTATGTAACTAGCTTATAGAAAAACTAAAACTATAAGCTGAGTCTCCCAAATCCAAATGTGGTGCTCTATCCTGGAGATCATGAAAAGTCATCCCAGGACCAACAACTTAAGCATTACCTGGGAAATTATTAGAAATACACTATCAGGCTTCATCCTAAACCTAATAATGTCAGAAACTCTGCGGATGCATCCCAGAAACGTGTGTTTTTAAAAACACTCCAGTTTATTCTAAATCACACTAAAACTTGAGAACCACTGCTCTTCACCATGCTGTGATCTGCACATTTCCAAAGAGTTTTTGTGGAGGAAACTAAAGGAAAATCTAAGAGCATTTATTTTTAGTCACATTCATAAAACTGCCCTATGTTCAAAACAAAGCTTTATCAATCAAATACTTAGTGAAAATTGCATGACATTTGGTGAAGTATTAAGCCTTTTTACAATAATGTAATTTTAAAATATGTTATCTGAAAAACTAAAAAAAAGGGGGGGGAGGAACAGGGTGAGAGTGAGAGAGGGAAGGAAGCGGGAGAGGGACAAAGGGAATATCAGTATGTTCTTAGAATTGCATCACACAGCACATTGAATCTGCTAAAAATTAACTCAAATCAAAATTTAAAGTTATAAATAAGAAAAGAGAATTGTGTGGAAATGTTTTGTTTTGGCAAGTACTTAGACAACAAATGTCTTAGCAACCACAAAAGGTACAAATGGTTGGAAAAAGTACTTACCTTCATATCTACATGGAGATCCAAGAACAGGTGACCACCAGTGTACCTACTGGAAGGAGTAAGGAGGGAAAAAAAAAAAACAAATTACAAGGAGTGTAAGAAGATGATCACACTCCTTTCCCTAGAGTTTCGTAAATTTATACTTATCAAACTCAAGTAAGCGCATTCCCAGTATCACAACATTTTAGAATTTAGGGGAATGTAAATAAAAAGTCTGTAGAGCCATTTTTAGTATCATTCATCTGTGTGTTTTCAATGACCAGCTCAGTATTTTGTATAGAGAGTGCATTTAATAGAAGATAACTGAATGGGCAACCTAATTAATACTAGTGTATTCAGTGTATATCTGTAGAAGACTAATGTTAAAAATAGGCTGAAAACAAAATTAGAGCCTATCTTATATGACTAAACATATAATATTTGAAGAAATGCAATCTGAACACTATGGGTATAGCATTGATTTTTCTGAAATTAGAGCCATTCTGCACCCAATCAACCTGCCTCTGTATTGCTGACATCAACCGTTGATGAGACGGAAAAAAAATCTCATTTATGCCAGTATCTGGCAAACTAACACAAGTTAATTTGTCAATTAAACTATCAGTGTAATAGGGAATGTTACAAACTAACATTAGCAGGTTAAGAGAGGCAAACTGTATAATTCATAAAGAGAAACACAAGTCCACAACAGGAATTCAGATGTAGCTTAAATGAACAATGGCAAAACAAAATTAAAGACAGAATCTGAGTGACCTCTAGTGTTATGAAAGGGAATATGAAGTAAATCAGAGAAATAGAAAATAGTACATGGTGCAGAATCCTAGATGGATGGATGGATGGATAGATAGATAGATAATTTTATTACGATATGATTTTAGTTTCCATATATTTAGAAGTCACCTAAAAACAGCATGTAGGATTTTATATTTCAGTCTTCAACACTGGAAACTGTTCTGACTTACTGAGTTAGTGTTAAAACATCTTCTTTTGTATAATACCCAGTTATGCAAAAGTCTGAGATCTTAGTCTAACTATTCAAATGCCTTTGAGGAAAAAGAATGCCTTGCAATGAATGTTAAACAACATTAGGTTTCCCAGCTGATATTGGGAAAAGGTCAAGGGAATGCAGCGAGGCAATAAAGTCATTCCAATTTTAGTAGTGTTGAGAGAGGGAGTGCTTACATTCAGATGCTTCACCTTCTAATGTATGCATTGATTTTTCTAAAAGCACAAGCTCTGATCACCTTCAATCAAGGTTCTTCAAAACCCTCTGATTGCCTACCAAATTAAGAACAAATTCTTAGCTGGGTCATTCAAGGGCTTCCATGAAATGACCCCTCTGACCTTCATTTCTTCCTTTTGTCACAGCACTTGTTTTACTACTGCACACGCAGACTTCCAAGTCCACCAATGTCTTTTTTAACTGATGAAATTTTGCAAAATCTTGTGAAAAGATGGCCCCAAATCAGAGAACTTTCAGCTTATTTCTAATAATCTCCTGATTTCAAGTCCTATTTCTACCACTTGCTAATTGTGCAATTTTGCAAAAACTACTCAGCCTAACTTAACTCAGTTTGATCACCCCCAGCATAAGGATAGTGCATGACATGAATATATTACCACAGCTCCCTCTGCAAGACAGTTTTTAAAAAGTAGAAAGAAACCAAGGTCAAATACCATCTCTGTCATTGATTAACTTTGGGATCCTGGTTCAGGATGTCAACTGAGATTCAGTTTCCTCATTTGGTACAATAATAACCAACTTCATAATATTAATATGAGAATTAAAATTAGATACCTTTTATGAAAAAGCACCCAGTGTATTATAGGCACCCAATAAATGCTTAACTCTGCATGCTGTCAAAACCACTGCCTCTACCTACCTCTTCCATTTGGGGCAGGGGCATGGATATCAGGTAATGTAATTAAACTCTGGATTTGATTATCCTGTTCCTCCTTTTCCTATTGCCAGGTAGTTGGACAAAGATTCTAAGAAGGTAATAGCACATCTAAGGGCTGGCGCTGTGACATAGTGGGTAAAGCCACTGCCGGAAGTACCGCATCCCATATAGGTGCCAGTTAGAGCCCCAGCTGCTCCACTTCCCATCCAGCTCTCTGCTATGGCCTGGGAAAGCAGTGAAAGATGTCTCAAGTCCTTGGGCCCTTGCACCACATGGGAGATCCAGAAGAAGCTCCTGGCTCCTGGCTTCAAATCCGCCCAGCTCTAGCCACTGCAGCCATTTGGGGAGTGAATTAGCGGATAAAACACCTCACACCTCTTTCCCTCTCTCTCTCTCTCTCTCTCTCTCTCTTTCTCTGCATCTCTGTGACTCTGCCTTTCAAATAAATCTTTTAAGAAAAAGCACATCTAAAGCAAGGTTATTATGGGCCATATGATAATCACATTTAGTTGTACCTATGGTCTTCACTGCTTTTGCTATCTTTATGAATTTTTAAGAGTCAAAAGGAGAGAGCTCCCATTTGCTAGTTCACCCCAGAATGACCACAATGGCCCATAACTGGGTCAATACAAGACAGCAGGAAGTCAATCCAAGTCTCCCACATGGATGGCAGGAACCCAATTACTTGATCTGTCAGTGCTACCTCCCAGGATCTGCATTAGCAGAAATCTGAGGTCAGGAGTCAAAGATAGATATCAAACACAAGCACTCTGGCATGGGACACAGGGATCTTTTTTGTTTTGTTTTGTTTTTTTGACAGACAGAGTTAGTGAGAGAGAAAGAGACAGAGAGAAAGGTCCTCTTTCCGTTGGTTCACCCCCCAAATGGCTGCTACAGCCGGCGCTGCACCGATCCGAAGCCAGGAGCCAGGTGCTTTTCCTGGTCTCCCATGCGGGTGCAGGGCCCAAGGACCTGGGCCATCCTCCACTGCACTCCTGGGCCACAGCAGAGAGCTGGACTGGAAGAGGAGCAACCGGGACAGAATCCGGTGCCCGCCGGGATACAGGGATCTTAACTAGTAAGTCAGTCACTCACCCCACCTCTTGTGCTTTCTGCTGTAACTGACGAGATGGCCCAGTCAGCCTTCTAAACTCAACATTATGTGATCAATGAAATTAATTATTTGGGCCATAATCTTGGTCTAAGCCAGGGTCAGAGTAAAAAGTTAAAGCTTTCTTGTATGATTCCACTTATATACTCACAGAAACAGAGAGTAAAAATGGAGGCTTCCAGGTTTGCAGGGAGGGGAAAATGGAGAGTTGTTTCATGAGTATAGAGTCGCCATTTTTGCAAAATGAAACAAATTCTGGAAGTTGGTTGCACAACAATGTGAATACACTGAACATCAGTGAATTATGCCCTTGTATGTTTTACCACTGTTTTTAAAATTTTAATTAAAAAAGGAAAGCTTTTATGAGATGAAATTCATTATCTCTTTAAATGCAACTTCTGGCATCTCCATAGCAGGCCACATAACACAGAGACAAGTGAGCTGGCACACGAGCACACACATACACACACACACACACACACACACACACATAAGCAGAGTGGAAGGGAGATTTTTGTCTAATAATTGACCTCATACCAATATCACAAATCTTTTATTATTGTTGAGTCTATGTTAAGGATGAAAAAAGTACGTTTTTCGTTCCTTTGACTGTTACCTGACATATAAGAAGAGAGGCTGAGTCTAATACATTTCGCTAGAAATAAACGGATAAACATTCATCTTCTACCTGGAGTAACTTGGGCAGAACTTGGAATAAGGCCCCAATCTAAATAATTTTGAATTTCTTCCAACTATTATCAAGCTTTTATGTGACTACCCAAATTATAAATGATCTCTCAACAACAGCTCACAATCCTTGATATTCCCAGACACTAAAGGAGTCCCCTGGCCAACTCCAGACTTATGTCCCTTCCTGCTGAATATGCGAGAAGAATGAACAAAAATTAAGAATCTGCACAGCTGCTTTCTTGGGTCGGAAATTCCAAATTACTTTTAAAGCCTCCTCATTAATGTGTCCCTGCAATAGCCTAACCCTTATTATTGGCCTGATATCCAAAATCCTTAGCACTTGATGAAAGAGGATAAAACTTGAGAGTCTCAGGTATAAGTGAGCTGAAATAACCCCAGCTCATTTAGCCTCAGATCCTTGTCCTTCTCCAAGTCGGCCGGTCTCCCCTGTGCTGCTGTCTCTGCACAGCTCAATGAATTCTGTCAGTCCTGAGTGTTCTCCAACTCATGATCCCAATTTATTTTAGATGGTTGTTTTAATTTTTTATTGATGTATGACACACATACAGCAGAGTGCGTACATAGTAACTATACAAATTAATGAATTTTCACAACGTGACTGTTACTACATAGCAGTACTCAATCAAAGAAGTATGTTGAGATCTCAAAAATGTTGTAGAAAAGTGAATTAAAATATAAGCTTATTTTGGTGCAAAAATTTTTGAAACCCTATTTATTTCATATAGGTATTTTCTATAAACTCTTTGAAGACCTCTCATGCTGCATTGCCACAGCTCCCAAAGCCCTCTTGTGCCTCTTCCAAAATACCTTACCAAGCGTATCATACCAATGATGCTGACTTCTGACAGTGTATACTAGTTTTGTCTTCTTTTTTTAAATTTTCATTTAGTTTATTTTCACTTTATTTGAAAGGTAGAGAGACAAAAAGAGAGAGAAGATCTTCCATCCCCTGCTTCCCTCCCAAAATACCCACAATAGCCAGGGATGGGCCTGGCCAAACTCAGGAACCTGGAAACACCATCCATGTCTCCCACATGGGTGGCAGAGATGGAAGTACTTGAGCCAGCATCTGCTACCTCCCAGGATGCACATTAGCAGGAGGCTGTATCAAATTCAGAGTAGCTGGGACTCAACCAGGCATCCTGGTATGGGATGTGGGCATCCAAAGTACAGACTTAAGCCACTGTGCCAAAGGTTCACCCCTGTGAACCTTGTTCTTTGTGGTTGGTGTCTTTTTTTTTTTTTTTTTGGAACTTCATATAAGTAGAATCACAGAGAAATCTCTGAATTGGTAAGATTGATCTATAGGTTTCTTTGTAACTGTAG